AAATAACACTGAGCCAAACACACATGCTAAAATAACAACAACGTAAAAAAAAAAATACTTTAATGAACAAACTAAACAAAATCAAGATCAGAATAATAATTATTTTATTACTTTTGAGAAAGATTAACGGTAACCGTTTTAAAAATTTTTATTTTAATGCTTCTTTTTTTGTATTGAACTTAACACATTCAGAACCAAGTTTTGTTATTGCAACTAACCTTACATTTCAGTTAAAGTATGAATTACTAAAACTGAAATAAAAATAAAAGCTGCATTGAAATATAAAATGAAATTAAAATGACAAGCATTTTTTTTGAGTGAATAATTATTTTATTTTTTTAATTTAAAGAATACTTTAATGAACCAACTAAATGAAATCAAGATCAGTAATAATTCTTTTATTACTTTTGAGAAAGATTAATGGTAACTTTTTTTCTTTTCTTTTTTTGTAACTTATTTTAATGCTTCTTTTATTGAACTTTACACAATCAGAACCAAGTTTTGTTATTGCAACTGACCTCACATTTCAGTTAAAGTATTAATTACAAACACTGAAATAAAAATAAAGCAAAAAAATAATAAAAATGGCAAAAGCACATACAATTACTTAAACTAAAGTTAAAATGAAAACTACAATAATAACACTGGCTCTGAGCTGTTGAAAACCTCGGCTCTGTGAACAGTGAAGCACGCAGTGCATGTATTTCTGTATAGAAATTAGGGCTGCACAATTAATCGAATTTCTAATCGCGATTACAATTATGGATGCCACAATTACGTAATCGTTCAAAGCAGCAATTAATCGTTAAAAGTCCACTTATGTTATTCTGCGTGCTTAAAATGCTTTTTTTCTTTCTACATGTTATCTTAAGGGTTTTTCCATTGTTTTAGTATAACATTATAATACCATTCATATTTTTTATGCTTAATACTATAGAAAAGCACTAAAGGTTTTTCAGTTATTTGAGTACGTGCATTAGTAATATTTTGCTCGATGCGCCATCTTGTGGCCTCAGGAGAGAAGCCAAAAGCTTTTCTTCACCCTAACTGAAATTATGCATTTTAATTCGAATTATATTCGAATTTTGATAATATTTAAGTAAAAAATTCGAATTTAGTTTCAGCAATTTTGACAGCCCTATCAAACAATGGTATAAACATCATTCAATGTAAATTGTAATTATCGTAATTAATAATCGCAATTACAATTTCAAGGCAATAATCAACAATTATGATTTTTGTCATAATCGTGCAGCCCTAATTGAAATCGCAACCTTTGTGATCGGATAAGTGCACTGAGCCAGATCACGATCTCGGTGTTATTTTGCTGTGATCCTGCAGGTGGTGCGCATTCAGGTGCAGATCCAGGAAACCCTGCGCAGACAGTATTCCCAGCATCCTTCGGTGCAGGGAGCCATTACACAGCTGGACTCCGAGCTCATGGACATTACCAAGGTGAATAGAGGCGTTGCTGTAAATGCTGTTAAAGCACCTCATGATCTGATGTGTTTCAGAAACCCGTTTCTTTCATGTGTCTGCAGCTGTACGGTGAGTTTGCGGATCATTTCCGGCTGTCGGAATGTAAGCTGGCCATCATTCACTGCGCGGGGCATTCGGACCCCATCCTGGTGCACTCGCTGTGGCAGGAGATCGTGGAGAAGGGTAACAGCTCTCGCTGAGGTTGTCCTCTCGCTGTGCTGTGGGTCGCTGTGTCTGACGGCTGCTGTTGTGTTTCAGAGCTGAGCGACAGTGTGGCCATGAGCCCGGCGGACCGCATGAGAGCTCTGAGCCTGAAGCTCGTGTCGCTGGGGAAGTTATACGCCGGAACACCTCGATACTTCCCATTAGGTACCAGTTTATCACTAACTAGGGTTGGGAATCGGATACTTAATTCCAGAATCGGATACTTAAGGTCAGGAATCGGATACTTGTTGTCAAATTAATATTTCGATTCCGCCTATCCGCGCTTTTATCTGTGAGGACCGGACCTAGCGATCTGCCAGGATCTTGCTCTCTAATCTAAGCGCTCCAAAGTTTGGCTACATTTGCGATCAGAAGCCAAAAAAGCTGAGTATAATATGTGAGCCTGGAGCACAAAAGCAGTCTTAAGTCGCTGGGGGATATTTGTAGCAATAGCCAACAATACATTGTATGGGTCAAAATTATAGATTTTTCTTTTATGCCAAAAATCATTAGGATATTAAGTAAAGATCATGTTCCTTGAAGGTATTTTGTAAATCTCCTACTGTAAATATATCAAAACTTAATTCTGGATTAGTGTATGCTATTTAATATACTTATATAGTATATTAAAGGGGTCATATGATGCGATTTCAAGTTTTCCTTTCTCTTTGGAGTGTTACAAGCTCTTGGTGCATAAAGAAGATCTGTAAAGTTGCAAAGACTAAAGTCTCAA